CCCCAGTGTCTGCAGTCCCCCCGGGGCTGCACCAGATCTGGCACCCAGGGCTGCACTGGACCCCTCCCCAGGGTGTGTCTGATCTGGTACCTGGGGCTGTATTGGCGCTGGGACACTCCCCAAGGATGCGCCGGATCCAGCACCCAGGGCTGCATTGGTGCTGGGCCCCCCCAACCCCCCCCCACTACCACCAGGATGTATCAGATCTGGTGCCCGGGGCTCCGGTGGAGCTGGGACCCATCATGCATGTGGCAGAGTTGGGCCCCCCCCACCAATGATGCACTGGATCTGGCACCTGGAGCTGCATCAGCACCGGGACCCCCCACACACCCCAGGGGCTGTATTGGCACTGGCATCGAGCATCTGCAACAGATCTAGCCCCCCCCCTCCCCCCGAGGGACGTGGCGATTCTGGGACCCCCCTGGGGGCTGCCTTGGCTCCAGCATGCCCTCGGGGACATCAGCACCAGCACCTGGGGGCTTGTGGCAGCTTGGGAATCTGGGGTGCCCCCAGGCGTCACTGGCTCCAGCCCCCTGGGTGCTCCGAGACCCCTCGGAATCTGTGGGGCTGTTGGATCCGGGACCCCAGCAGCCCCTGGCTCTGGGACCTTGGGGACATTGGTGCCAAGACCTTGGGGTCCATCAGCTCTGGGACCCCAGGGACTACCAGCTTGGGGACATCAGCTTTAGGACATTGGGGTCCACCATCTTGGGGATATTGGGGACATCAGGTTGGGGAACTTGGGGAGATCATTTCTGGGACCTTAGGGTCCCCCAGCTCCCAGATTTGGGGCTCCACGTCATCTCCAGCTCCCTGGCTCCCCAGCTCTGCCCCATGCCTGAGTCCCCAGACCTATGGTGGAATCCCACAGTCCCTGGAGCCCACCCCCCTGGGACTGTCCCCATGTCCCCCCCCAGCCCTGTACAGCCTGTAAATATGGCCCTGGGCCCTGGGGCTCCGGTGTCACGCCCTCCCCCCCTGCCCCCCCTCACATTTTTAAGTTATTCCTGCCGCGGTCTGTACCCCAACCCTCTCCCCACAATAAAGTGGAAACCCATTGTTGTTGGCACCCATCAGTACCTTGTAGGGTGGGAGGGTCTGCAAAAGCACCCCAGGGTGCCCTGGGCTGGGGGGCTATCCCCCTCCCTTGGGGGGGGACCCCCCCCAATGGGTGTGTGTGTCCCCCAACACCCCAGTCTGGATGCCTGGCTTCACAGCAGGGACCAGCAGCATTTATTGAGGCCGGTCCTGGGGGGTGCCCAAGGTGGGGGGTCCCTTATTTTTGGGCAGGGATCATGTCGTCGATGGCTTGGTTCTGCTCCAGCTTCTTCTCCATCTCCACCAGCAGTTTCACCCCATCCACCACCATCTGCACCTGCTCCACCTCCGAGAAGCCCAAGCGGTCGGCGTTGGAGATGTCGAAGACGGCGCCCACGGCTGCCGTGTCCACGCCGCCTGGGGGAGATGGGGGCATCAGCACCCAATGGCACCCCACAGCACCCATGCCCACCCGCACCTTATATCCCCTATGTGCCTGTGCCCACTTGTGCCCCAAATTCCACCCCGCCATGTCATCTCACGTTCTTTCACCTTTGTGTCCCTCAGCCTGCTCATGCCCCATGTTCCCTGTGCCCACCTGTGCCACGCTTCTGGAGGCGGAGACGCTTGAGGACCTCCTCAAACTTGGGGTGCTGGCTGAGCTTGGGCAGCCGTACGTGGACACCCCCCCGCAGCCCTGTCCCGAGGTTGGAGGGACAGGTCAGGATGTAGCCCAGGTGTTCTGTCCACATGAAGGGGTGGCCTGCCTTCTTGAAGATCTCCTCGATCTGGGGGGAAACACACACATGCATGTGAGACTGTGTCCCCACTCACCACCATCCTGACCCCCAGCCTGGGGGGCATTACAGCCACCACCTTCCTGGGACATCCCCGTGGCCCCCAGTGTCCCCTGTCCCCAAAATGTGCCTTCATTGCCATGTCCCCACCATGCCCCTAATGTCCTCCTGTGCTGCCCAATGTCCCCATTGTGTCCGTATCTCCAAGACCCTCTCTGTCCCTTGCATCACCCCCATGTCCTCCTGTGTCCCCAAAGTTCCCTATGCTCCCAAGACCCTCCATGCCCCTATTTCCCCATGTGTCCCCAAAGACCTCCATGTCCCCCCCAATGCCCCAAGACCCTCCATGCCCCTGTTTCCCCATGTGTTCCCCAAGCTCCTCATGTCCCCAACACCTTCCATGTCCCCAAGACCATCCATGCCACCCCATATCTCCTACATCCCCCAATGCCCTCCAGGGGCCCAATGCCGCCCATGTCCCCAGTGTCCCCCACATCCCACTATGATGTTCCCCCCCCCGCGGTCTGACCCACCTTCTTGAGGCCGACGCAGAAGCGCCTGAACACCTCCTTCATGTTCCCCCCCTTCTCCATGGAGATGACACGGAGGTGGTCCTCCTCATTCACCCACACCAGGAAGGTCTTGTTGTCATTGTGCCTGGGGGGGTGGGGGGATGTGTCACACACACGACACCCCCTCAGTGGTGGCCCAGGGACCCAGGCACCTCCAGATTCATCTGGGTGGCCCCTACATGCCCCCACCCAAGGTGGGACCCCAATATGTGTGTGTGCCCCCTGCACCTCCGCCAGGTGGGATCCACGTGTCTGGGTGGTCCTAACTGCCCCCCCACCCCCCCACCCTCAGATGGGACCCCAACACTTGGGTGCCCCCAGGTGGGACCCTGCACTCTGGGTGCCCCTTGCACCCCCCCTCCTAGGGGCGATCCCCAAGATGTAGGTGTCCCCATCATCCCCCCAGGTGGGACCCTGCACTCTGGGTGCCCCTTGCACCCCCCCTCCTAGGGGCGATCCCCAAGATGTAGGTGTCCCCATCATCCCCCCAGGTGGGACCCTGCTTGCTGGGTGCCCCCCCCGTCACCCCAGGATGGCCCACCAGATGCCACGGGCGTCGGGCCAGTCACGGGCCATGCCCGAGGCCAGCAGCAGGGGTGAGACGGGCTTGTCGAAGAGGAAATGGTCGTCAATGAGCTGCTGCTGCT